TACTCCTTCTTCACATGTTCTCCCATAGGTCATGGCTTCTCAGCCTGTTCTTCCATGTGGACCTTTCAATGGCAACCAACACCACCTCACCAAACAGCACACCCACACAGGCAGCAAACCACCACACCCACACAGGCAGCCCAACAGGTCCCCTCAATCATGGCACACTTCATTTCTTTGTGCAGCTTTCCACCAAACAAAAAGATGGAAGCATTACTGACAACTGTGGTGATGGTATTGTATGGCTTTGGCAAGAAGAGAGCAAGCAGCAGCTCTATAGAACAATGTTTGACAGCTTGGTACTAGCACAGCATTTATCAATGCTGAATGGCTGTTTATCTGTGTGATACCATTGCACTGGGCATGTCATTGATCATGAATTTTCATCTCCATAATGCATGGCAGATGAAGGGTAGCAAGTGTCTGGTTATTGATGACCACAACTGCCTTAAGCTGGTGTCCAACAGCCTGGGTGCTGTTGTCAGACACTTCAGTGATGGGCGATGCCCAGCCCTACTGAAGTGCACTGATGGTGGTGTTGAAACGCAGCACCAGCTGCTCTGTATTGGAAACAGACATGTTGGAGATGAATGGCAGAGTCTTCATGCACTTGTCTGCTCAATACAAAAGAAAAAATTACAGCAGTTAACTGGTTTGTTGACAGGAAAACAGAGGGGAAAGGGTTGCCTCATACTGAGTGAGAATTCCTCCAACAGCAAGATGGACAAGTTTCCCTTTGAACATTTGATGATGGTTGTGTTTTGCAGTTGAAGGCTGCAGCTTGATGATCACTGTCACCCACCAAGACCACTGATCAGACAACCAGAACCATACACCCACTCAAGACATGATTGGAGGAGCAGCACACCATGGGTAGTGGCAGGGGTTTCCAGAATGATTGCTACATCTCCATTCTGGTTCCAGAGAATCAATGTCAGACCTGAGACATACAATGAAGCCTTTATGAGAGTCACCTGAAAAAAAGTGTACCACTTCCCTGGCTGGCCATCACTTCAAGGGCAGCGCTTTGCTTCCAGACTGCATTGGCAATCAGCACCACTGATTTGGAGGTTGAGGCAGTCAGCACTTCAACTAACACTGTCTGCAGTCACTGAACAGCAAGCACCACAAAGAAATAAGAGAGGGCGTACTGATGGTCTTATTGTTGGGGGTGGTGATGATGAAGGCACCCTGCTGAAGGAAGGTACAGCCTGGCTCTACCCACACACCTGCATGCCATCATGTCTTGTGCTTAGGCCAAGCCCAAATCATTAGAGAAAAAGGTACTAAAATGCACCCATGCCCAAAGGAGGGGAAATGGTGAGAGCACCCTGTTGAATTACACACCCAGCATCCACAATGTGCAGCTGCTGTGAGGTGAAAGCAAGTCAAAGGTCTTCAAAAAGTTAATGAAGCTGACAGTACCAGTGAATGGTGATGTTGCCAGAAAGCTGCAAGGTGCTGGAGACAGTGAGCCACACCAAGCCCATAATGGCTTCTGTAGTGTAGATGTGCACCAGACTTGTTGCCCTGTGTGGGATTGGCACAATTTTAAAGAGTGAAATTAGATTGGGCAACATGAGTGCAAAAATTGCAAAAGAGAAAGAGTGACAATCACATATGTGATGGTGAGGGGGAAGGTGATGTTTATGCTGGACTCACCATTGAGGGAACTGCCAAACAACATAATCTTGTCTCCCACCACACTGATGTTCAGGGCAGCAGCAAAGGAGGAGAACTCACAGCCAGAATCACATACTTGCCACAATACTGACATAGTTCATGCCCACATCACAATCAAAAACCTTGATAGACCACCTGCCACTATTGTGGCTCCTTTGGCAGGGCATGTACCAGCTTGAGCACCACCAGGAAGACCAAAGAGGAGTGAAAGCTGTAGAAGGACAAGAAGACTGGTGCATCTTATCAACTTTGTGCTGCAACTTTGGTCTGTTTTGTTGGTGGCACTTTATCTTGGGGCCAGATAATCTGTCAGTTCATTTGGAGAATGTCTGCCTCGCCAGTCCATGATGGAATAACTTCAGAACATAAAACTGAAGTTAAGTCATCATGTGGTCAACAGGAGGCCACTGTGTGCAAGGCCTGCGCGGCCAAGATTGATGCCATTGAGCCACCACTGTCAGAGAGCGACTACAACAATGGCATGGCTGTCTGCATCCTCTATGACATGCTTGTGGGAAAAGAAATCTGCAACGTCTGGGAGGCCATGCTCAGCAAGCTGTTGCTCAGCGAAGCCCATGTCTACTACAAGGACATCTGTACTGACTGCCACATCAAGGCTCTGTTTGGGAAAGTGGACAGCGCCTACAATATCCAGCAGCCTCCCAACCAAACTAGCCAGCTACAGGTACAATGTTTGACGCCACTGGTGGCTGCAGCCGCTCTCCTGATGACTGTTGGTTGCAGAAACAGCTTTGGTTTGTTTGAAATCCAAAGTGGCAACAAACACAGATAAACGGCTTGGTTCTGCCATGCTATTGCTGCTCTTGGTCGCTTGTGGACGCCGCCCGTGGATGCATTGCTGTGTATGTTGTTTTGTTTTGTTCCTTCCGCTCATCCAAATACGTAAAGGGTATCGTGGGCAGGCTTGGGGGTCAGCACAGCACCATATTTGGTAGAGTGGGCGGCAAGCTTGTGGGCCGCCCAGCAATCAACAAGTAGCTCATCAACCAACGCGATCGTGCACACATTTTATGTCGACTATGACTCACACACGTAAGTTGTCGACAGTCGGCGTAATGTAGTTCCCAGAAGACACTCCCACAAAGAAAAGACCGACGGTGGACGGGGCGAGCTCCTCCTGTGCGGCCAGTACACAAACGAGCGGGGTGGGGGCAGCAAAGGAGGGTTCCAGTCAAGTCGACCAGTACAGCAGATAAAATGACCAGTGTGGATACAGCTTACACTCGGCAGGAGCCAACCACCAGCGTGGACGAGAGTCCTGTCATAGAGGGCGCCCTCACATCGGCAGTGGTCGACGGCCACCAGGCTGCCGTACAAGCCTTAATCTTTCGTACGTTGCCATCGACGTCTTCGCGTTGTTGTGCTGCCTTTCTCACCACAGAGGCATTTTTTTCCCCACCAGAAGGGTGCGACGTGAATGAAGCCGACGACATGGGCCTGCGGCCACTGCTCGCCGCGGTCAAGTGCAACAACATGGTCATGGCCGGCCTGCTCATCGACCACGGTGCCCAAGTCCATCAGCAGAATTGTAAGCGATCAGAGCTGCACTCCCTGGCCGAGACCCAGCAGGGTCCCTACCCTGATGTACGGGATCACCTACTATTGATTCAAGCAGCGCACGTTTACTTATTTACCACACGCACACACCTTGCGCAATGCCCAACAGTTGCCGGCGACGGTTGGAGCGAGGTGGGTCAACACGGTGCAAAGATGGGTCATGCCTTCGCCCGCGGTCAAGTTCTGGCAGCTGCTCCTGGGCATTGGCGCCAGTCCGAACTGGTAGGCACCGCACACGGCCACACGTTCTGTGCCCATCATTCAAGTATCACCTGACCTGCATGATTATCGGGACCGTCAGGCCGGACCGGCACGGGATGACACCATTCCATGTGGCCTGCGCACGCGGCAACTGGCCGGTCGTCCAATTCCTCCTCCAAGGTGCTTTGCTTGCGGGGCTCAAGCTGAGCCGACGCATTACTGACATTCATTGACGCAGGCAAACACGTGAGCGATGTCGACAAAGCAGACGAGCAGGGCGAAACGGCGCTGCACTACGCCGCGCGCTATGGTCACGCCGCTGTCGTGTCGCTCCTTCTCTCCGACACGCGGCTGATTAGCAAGCACGGCAACGCCGCCGAGGTGCCCCTCGGCCTGCCTTCATTGCCTCTTAGCTTGTCTTCTTCCTCCTCTCGCATTCTAGTTCAGAGACGAAGGCTGATGGAAGCCTCATTACGGCTGGTCAGGCGGCGAGAGCGGCGGGCCACGTGGCCGTGGCGGAGCTCATCGAAAGCTGGAGCTATCGGGCGTGTCCCCTCTTGTTCATGCCCTTCGACGCGCTGGTGCACTTGATGGCCCTCCTTGAGCCCCACGACCTGTGCTCTGTCGCCCAGACCTGCTCGGTACCCCACCCCGGCCGCCTGAGCTCGATTCGCGCCAACGTTCTTCCTTTGGGCTGACACCACCCGCACCACAGACGCTGAACGAAGTGAGCAGCGACGACCACGTGTGGCGCCGCTTCTGCAGTCCGCGGTGGAGCAGCGATGACAAGGGGTGTGAGGGCAAGCAATGGAAGGCGCGCTACATGGCCTGGCTCCAGCCCCGCCTCAAGCAGTACGCCACCAGTAAAGGTAAGTACTTCAACTCGCCGACGTTGGCGCTTTTCATCGCAAGAGAGACTGATCATTTTTACTGGCCAGCGAGAGGATTCACCGGAGCCGCAGCCTCTGCGCGGCCATCAACGCATCAATCCGAGGACTACGACCACCTTTTCAAGTTCAACCTCATCGGCGATAGCGGTACGTTTCATCGTGAGCTATGCTTGGATGATTCAATGGCGTGGCTGACTCTGGTGTTCTTTCGCCAAAAAAACAGGTGCGGGTAAGACTTACCTCCACACTCGCTTTCTGCCCAAATTCCATCGACACCACTCCAGCACCATCGGCGTTGAATTTGGCAGCAGGACAATCGAGATGTGCGGCCAGCGCATCAAGCTGCAAGGTATCACCCCTCTTCGCAGCCTCGCTTTCTCGCTCTGTTGGCGGGGTCCCTCGCGCGCGTTTGATCTTGTGCGTTTTGGCTGACCTGGATTCTGCTTTCATCACAAGTGTGGGACACGGCGGGCCAGGAACGTTTCCGCAGCATCACGGGGGCGTACTACCGAGGGTCGCGCGGCCTGCTGGTGGTCTACGACATCACCGCGCGAAGCTCGTGGAAGAATGCCAAGTATTGGGTCGAAGAGGTGCGGCGAAGCCTGGCCGATGATGTTGACATGATGCCCTTCATCCTTGGTACGTTACAGTCCTGCCCTTGTCCTGTGACGGTGATCGTCAGCTAACCATCGTTGTGTGTGTCGTGTGTGTCGTGTGTGTCGTGTGTGTCGTGTGTTGTGTATTGACAGTTGGAACGAAGAACGACTTGGAGCATCAGAGGCAAGTGTCGCCGGAGGAGGGCCAAGCGCTAGCCCTGGAGTTGGGCGCCGCCGGCTGGGCCGAAACCAGCAGCCGCACCGGAAGCGAAGTGGAGAACACGTTCCTGCGCCTGACCGAGGCGGCTCTGCTGGGCGTGGACCCGTTCTCCAGCTCCGGCGCGGGTCCCGAGTGCTGCGTCCCTAGCGCAGAGGTGCTGCAGGCGCTCTACGACAAGTCGATCACGGGCCGGGCGGAAAAGGAGCGGATTGCAGCCTTGGCTCGGTCTAGCCAGTGCCTACTCCAGTAGCCCTGCCAATAGGAAGCATGCTTCAATAATCAGGAGTGGTGACCGGGGGGGGGGGAATCTGCACGATGTGCGCAAGGTGCGACGGCACAGACATCATTCGAACGAAGAGCTGGCAAGGGGTGGTACGTACGTTGAGCCAGGCGTTGGTCTTCTGGTGCTGGTGATCTTTGATGCCCAGGAAAGTCGCGTTTCGTGCGGGTTCAAGGAGTGGGTGTTTAGATTTTCATTCTTCTCTGGTGAAGGTACCATTGGAGACGCCACTGGGGAGGGGCGAGAGCGGAGGCGACGAAGAAGACGGCCACCACCAAAACCAAACCTACGACATTGCGGCCATTGGTTCAGCTGAAAAACAACTGGAAGAACTGAAAGAGCGAGAAGATAAAGCAGCCGATTCCTCGAGCGCTCGCGCCAGGTCAGGTGCCAGATCAAAACTCAAGTTTATAGAAGTTGACGAGTTTAGAGGCATGATCACGCCAACCAAAGCAGCGCCTCCAGCATGGAGCGAGGAAGCCACTTCAGGCTCTCCACAAGCGCAGGAGGAGGCGAGGGCGAGGGAGCCGCTTCTGTGCTTCCGGCGCCGCCTTCATTGAGCGCAGGGACGTCCTCCTGATCCTGTTGGGCGGGCGGAATGCAGCGAGCGACCACGCGCAG